ATTTCGTGTGTCGTCGCCACTTCCGGTCGTCACAGGAAGTGATTTAAAAAAGGCAATTTTTTGAACTTTTTTGTTTTTCATTATTTTTCTATGATATTTACAGGTTTAACAGAGAGGCTTACCAGAATGCTAATTATGTAATTTATTAAAAAATTGATTAACCCAGACTCTAAATATTTATCATTTTTCAATTTTAAGCGATGGTCTTCGATAGCGCAATGGTAAGTGCGTTGAATTTTCACGCAGGCGACCAGGATTCAATCCCCAGGATGTCCGAGTGTTTACTCACTTTTCGGGGGCCCAAAATATAATTTTTTTCTTTAATGGGGGGGGGGCTATGTCCTTCGACATCAGAGCAGCGGTGTTTGACGTCACATTAACGGCGTGTCTTTTTAGTCCTTCATAAAGTGTTTGCAGTTGACATTTGCACTAATGCATACATGTATATGCAGTTGTGATATATATAAATGAGGTACACATGTATATGTAGCTAGGTACATATGCAATTGTATCACAAATTGAAGACTTGCCAACTTGTTTTTTGTAGAATTTATTATTTTCTCATGATGATTATTAATAGAATTACATAAAGCAATTTCAAATGAGAAAAAGAACTTAATGACATTTAGTTTAGAGCAAGATCCATCATAATTAAGAGCTCAAAGCGGCTAAGCATAAAAGGTATTGTCAATTAATGATAAACAGTGTATTTACAAAATAAAACTACTCGAACATTATGTGAAAAAAATATGCTTTCACGAAATACATCAGTGAATTGTCAATCAGTTTCTTATGTGTGAGTGGTGCTGACTCGGAGAGACAGAAGAGCATATGCGATAATAAGGTGTCAGTCGTCCGTCTGTCTGTCTGTCTCTAAACGATTTTTCAAAATGCTACTCCTCCTACAGTTTTCGTCTGATTTAAATATAACTTGGCACACAAGTAGACTACACTAAGAAACATAATTCTATTTATCGGTTTTCGATTTTCATGAACGATGTTGCCATGGTTACTAAAAATAGAAATTTCTGTGAAATACTTTCAAACGCTACTCCTCCTACAGTTTTGGTCTGATTTCAGTAAAACTTGGCAAATATATACACTACACAAAGAGACATAATTCTGCTTATCGGTTCTTGATTTCAATGAACGGTTTTGCTATATGGTTACTAAAAATAAATTTTCACAATATAAACGTTTAATCATATTTTATGTGTGAAGGTGTCAAAGGGAATGTAAAACATAACAAATATTGTTTAGTGAGAAAGCAACTTCTCTTATGACAAAGAAGGGACGGAAGACCTTCTTGTTGCCATGGCAACAAGGTTCTAGTTATTATTATTATTTTTCATTTTTATTTTTCTGACCTTTTCAAATCGCGATATCTCAAAAACTACTCAATCATTTTCAGCTAAATTTTCAGGAATGATGTGTTATTTCATGCCATTTTGAAATATTGAAAAAGTTTGGAAAAATTCACTTCCGGTCAGGAATTATTACGATTTTTCACTTTTTCTACTAAAAATCTAGTCCGTGAATGTTCTCGGAAACTGTTAAAGGTAGGAGTCTGAAACTTTCAGGTATGATAGAAGGTGATTTGTAGATGTGTGATCGAAACATTTCGTGTGTCGTCGCCACTTCCGGTCGTCACAGGAAGTGATTAAAAAAGGGTAGTTTTTTGAACTTTTTTGTTTTTCATTATTTTTTTATGATATGTATAGGTTAAATAGAGAATCTTATCAGAATGCTAAATATGTAATTTATTCAAAAATGGATTAACCCGTACTTAGATATTTATAGCTTGCTACTATGATACGATGGTCTTTGATAGCGTAATGGTTAGCATGTTGAATTTTCACGCGGGGAACTCGTATTCAATCCCCAGAATGTCCAAATTTTTTCACATTATTGTTTGGGCTCAAATGTAATATTTTATTTATATTTAAAGGGGGGGGGGGGGTATGTCGTTCAACGTCAGAGCAATGGTGTTTGACTTCACAATGGCACTGTGTCTTTTTACTCCTTCATAAAGAGTTTGCAGTTAAATTTTGCACTATTCAAACCCCTAAATGTCCGATTTTTTTCACACTGTTGTTTGGGCTCAAATGTAATATTTTATCTTTAAAGGAAGGGGGGGGGGGGGGCTATGTCGTTCAACGTCAGAGCAATGGTGTTTGACTTCACAATGGCACTGTGTCTTTTTACTCCTTCATAAAGAGCTTGCAGTTAAATTTTGCACTATTCAATCCCCAGAATGTCCGATTTTTTTCACACTGTTGTTTGGGCTCAAATGTAATATTTTATCTTTGAAAGGGGGGGGGGGGCTATGTCGTTCAACGTCAGAGCAATGGTGTTTGACTTCACAATGGTACTGTGTCTTCTACTCCTTCATAGAGAGTTTGCAGTTAAATTTTGCACTAATTAATGCGCATATGTCTGTGATATGACGAAATAAGGTAAAAATGTTAATGTAGCTAGGTACCTATGAAATTGAATCACAAATCGGAGATTTGTCAAATTATATTTTGAAAGTAGAATATATTATTTTCTCATCTTGATTGAATAAAAATAGCAATTTCAAATGAGAGGGAACTTCAATGACATTTATTTTAAGCAAGATCCGCCATAATTAAGAGCTCAAAGCGACTTAGCGGATAAAGGTATGGTTAATTAATGGTATACAGTGTATTAACACAATGAAATACATAAAAATCTGTATACTTGAAACAGTATGTGAAAAAATATGCTTTCACGTAAAGTGTCAATCATTTTGTTATGCCTGTGTGGTGCTGACTCAGGGAGGGGGGGGGGGGGTAACCTGAAATGCATGAAATCGGGTAAAATAAAACAAAATAGTGTAGATACATGTAGGTCTTAAATTAAAAAAAAAATATTTAACATAATTTTATATTTTGTACAATTATATGTGAGAATCTCAAAGTTTAAAGAAATCCACACAAAGATATTTTGGAACGTAGGTCCTCCCCCCTCCTTAAAATGATATCTCGTATTTTTTTCGTTCCAGTTTTGCAATATTTTCAAAATATAAACGTTTAATTATATTTTATGTATGATTGATTGATTGATTGATTGTATGTTGTTTTAAGTCCCATTCGAGAATTTTTCACTCATATAGAGACGTGACCACCGGTGAAGGGCTTCAAATTTAGACTTTTACTCGGCACTTAGGGCTATTGAGCAGTGAGGGATCTTTATCGTGCCAACACCTGCAGTGACACGGGGCCTCGGTTTTTAAGGTCTCATCCAAAATATCCGCAACTTTCACTTCAAAGTGCCGAGCGCATGGCGAAGGAACTATTTTTTGTATGAAGGTGTGACAGGGAATGCACAACATAACATGTAGTTTAAAGAGGAATCAACATCTATGAAGACAGAGAAGGGACGGAAGACCTTCTTGTTGCCATGGCAACAAGGTTTCTAGTTATATTTACCTTTTGTCTGCTATAGCAACCTATAGTTCTTATACTTAAATATGGCCATTAAGGAAACTGCTGATAATTGGGCATAAAGTAAACCACATAGAAAAAATTAATATACTTAATGGGAAAATTTTATTGTACTCACTGTTAATAGCAAGTACATTTATATGCATGTATTATAGATATATACAGTGGCGCCTTGTTTATCCGGACGCCTCTTTGGCTTAAGTTTGTTAAAAATAATATGGATTAATTTTGAACCATTTCTTATTTAATTAATGCACAGTGTACTGGTGTAAGCTAAATTCTTCGAGCTTCATAATAGACGTGTAATTTAATTGGGGTAAATACACGCTAATTTTAGACGCTATTGTTTGTAGGTCACAGGTATCTCCTTCAAACTGACTGCATGGCCAATGTTTTTACTACAATTAACACTACTGCAAGATCAGGGATTGAAATATATGGTAGCCCCACGCCCGGGGCTAGTTATTTTAAGACTAATCTAGCTTATTCAAACGTAACGATAGTCTGTCGGACTAGCAGAACAGAAGAAAAATTCTCGTCAGTTTACTTTCATTTTTCTATGAAGACTGGTTTATTTGACTGAGAACTATTTTTGAGAACTATGTTTAATTTGTTTCTGTCACCAAAACATTCAAAACTTTAACTTTTTGTTTTCATTTTGCATAAAAAAATTGTTGGGCTAGTTGGTTTGAGGTTTGGGCTAGTAATTTTTTCCTGATCAGTAGCCCCTGGGCTAGTGGGATTTCCAGGAAAATTTCAACCCCTGAAGATAAGTGTGAAAAAGTCATTTCTTGAAAAATTACCATCCGGATAAATGAGTCATTTTTCAATGAACTATTACGTTTTGAAGTAGAAATCGACCATCGGGATGCGAAATTTCTGGATTAAAGAGACAGAATGACATGGAAAAAATCTATTCCCGAAAAATAGCATCTGGAAGGTGAAGTGTTCAGATAAACATGGTGCCACTGAATATACCATAAATGACTATGACCTATGGTACATACTGTCAGAGAAAAACAATCAATTAAAGCTGAACACATCTCATAAATAGACATACACCATATTCGATTATGTATCATCTACTATATCAGCACCGGGGTATACTCTTCGCATTTGTTACACCTGACTGCTTTATTGTCACAGGTATCGGAGTGGAATGGTGACACATGCTCATGCTGGTTATCTTGCATTGCCTTTGTTTATTTATTTTATTGCAGTTACGTGTACTTGTGTATGTTTGTATACTGCACTGACCTGTGCAACTGTTGTAAGTTTCATTGGCATCTTTCTCTCCTGCCATGAAAGAAGTACACAGTAATTTTTTGTTGCTACCAAGAGCTATGTAGCATACGTCATTCTGTCTATACAGACAGGTGACAACAGATTACACTGAACAGTGACTAAGTGAGTGGCTTATATAAGGACCCTACAATATAGCGTGAATAAAGGAATATGGCGGAAAAATTCCTTTTACACAGTGTGTTCAGATTTAAAATCACTAACTTTAAAGCAAACTAATGGACTACATACCTTTTCCCATAATTCACTTCAAATTCCTACTCATCATGTACGGCTATTTCAGAATCTCACATGTATACATTCTTTGACTTTTCTATAGGAACATTATTTCCTACAATGTACAATCACATTTTAAAACATTCAAATATTACTTCCAATTGGACATAATTGGTAGTTCACAAGCTAGAAAGCCCACTCAGTAGTTGGATTGATTGTTTAATTGTATGTCGTTTTACATCCTGTTTATTACAGTGTAATAAGAATTTTTCACTAAAATAGTGACGTCACCATATAATGGTCAACAATCTTTTCAACAGTTTTTTCTAAAGAGATTTCAGGTTGTCTTTACTGCAATTGTCAGTCTACATTACGACCCATTGTGGTATACTGATCCCGATTTGTTTTCATAGGATTTAAGTTTTAGTTTGTGTGATAACTGGATATCAAAAAGTTTCAAAGTAGAGTGTCATGAGCTCATCAATGCTAATTATCAAAACACTACTTCTAGAAAATCAAAACATTTAAGTTAAATTAACCATTCAAAGTATTTTTTGAAAAGTAAAACAAAGGTCAAGGTCAAGTGAACTGTAATGCTGGTACATGTATTTTTCATTATAATTTATGTTAAAATTGTGCACATGCTAAATAGCATAGACTTACCTCTTTTAAATTATCAAAAATATGCTGAATATTGGCACTTTAAACTTTTTTATAAGTAGGTCAAAGGTAAGTTCAAGGGTCACAAGATTGACAACCATGGTATTTAAAAAAAGTCATAGTGCCAAGCAAAATATTAACCAAATATCAAAAACAATTAAACCTCTTACAATTCTCGAGATATAAGGTGTGACAGATGGACAGACAGATGCCAGGTAAATTGATCCCTAGGTGTTACAATGGTGTGCAGTCGACTCACAAAAAATGTTCTAGTGACTTATTTATCATTGGAATGACTAGTAAACACCAAACTGAACTTAACCTGCTTAAGTGAGCCAGTAGTGCCCAGTACAGAGCAACAAGTGCTGTGAACAGTGAGTGAAGTGTGACCGATTGATTGAGTGTTGTTTTATGTCCCATTCGAGAATAATTTCACTCATAAAGAGTGAAGGGTTAAATAATTACAATAAAATGTAAGGAGGCAAGTCTGCCTCACCATAACCTGGTTCTTTGTGGCCCTATTTTTAACCTTCATACCCATCTCCACTGGGAATTCATTTCCTCCCCCCCCCCCCCTCCCGCAACAATCAAGTCATGACTCCATAAGCAGCCAAAGGCTGTAATGGGCAACTAGTTCATTAACAGCTAGGGCTATCAGGAATTCAAAGTCACTGAAGTTCTTTTGGTTTTCATGATACTATCAAACTATCAGTCTATCACTGAGTATCTGCATGCTTTAAAAGTTAGTATTTACCGGTACCCCTGATTTGCTTTAATTAAAGCTTTTGTGTCTATTTTCTGCTATCAATTTATTTACAGTTTATAACTAATAAAGCAGCAAATATACCTTACCCCATGTTGCAGATTCTCTTCATTCAAGTAATTGATGTACATTGTACTTAATCTCTTCATCTGTTCATCTGGATCCTTTCACTGCATTCAGACAGTACCAGTAACTGTTATATATGGATATATTTCCTTGTCAAAGCTGTCACTTTTTAGGCACAATTGCTAAGTTTGCATCTTTATCAGCATTATTTATTAATGAAATGACAAATTCCATCAGACACTCCTGCAAAAATGAAAACAAAATCTATTAATTTACATATTCTCTTGACTTCATTACTATACAATTGAACTGTTTTATACTGCACTGCAAATATAAAGGGCTGGGATAATACACTTTCTTCTACTATTCTATATCTAATATACTATATTAGGTATCACAATATTTATGCTACAATACAGATAACAATATTTTTAATCGGTTATAATTTTTTCATTTTATATTAAAATGAGACAAAGTTTGACACCATGCATATTCAAAGTCTCTAAAAATTTACAATTTTAGTCATGTATATGTGTTATGCAAGGGTGTATCTGTCAGTATTTCCAAAATTTATCAAGCATGACATTTAAATTGATACAAATATTTTGATTTCAGCTTTTCTTTTTCATCAAATATTCTTTGATAATTTTTAAATCAAAATAAAATCAAAAACTTTTAATTTCTTCATTTTATTTGCTTGGAAAATAATTATTTTTTTTCTTTTGTATTTGTACGAGTATTTAGTTTCAAACTAGTTCTACATGTATATTAGCTAATCAGTGAAAATCTATGTTTCAGATTTACATGCCTGTGTGTGCATTTTATTACAAATCATGGGATCTGTGCTCGTAGGTGCACTCAATGTCTTAAAGTTATTCATAATTTGAGAATTATTGTCTCTTTTTTTTATTGTCAGTACATGTATATTTAAACCAATATTTTTTGGTTTTACAAAATAAAATGAATTTATATTTTCTTTTTTAAAAGAGATGATGCAAATTATAATTTCAATTTTAATTTTGTTTATATATTGTTGCTGTGATCTCAATAACCTAGATAGAACGTTCTAATCATTAAAATGATATTGTCCTACGAACCTGGTTTAACGATAGAATTTGTTCCGTGTATCGGCAATGTAGCAAAATAAGCAAGTTCGATAACTCGAACTGACTGCATTTTCTATGAACAATCCAGAGAGTTCTGAATTCAACATGGCGTGTAAATTTGAAGCGAGGAAAAAAGGTTGAGAAAATGAGTTGAATTTTCTTATTTATATGGATTATTTTTTAGGTTAAAAGGCATATAAAATCTCAAAAAGGTTTGTTATGATTAATTTGATAGTTATTTTCAGTGCAATTTTTTTTGTATTCTTCAAAATCATTTCTGAGCGGATCCTTTCCAATATGCTACATTGCTAGTATATGGGACATATTCCAACTGTGGTGATCGAGGGCTTGTTCCGAGACACAGTTAGATTGTTCTAACTAGCAAAATAACCCAACACATATATCTTGTAAGTCGAACACATGTATTTTGCAAATTCAATAAATAATTCTAAAAAAAAAAAAAGAAATCTTGTACAAAGGTATTCCATAGAGAAAATTACCCAGAAAACGTTGTAGCATAACAAACACTGACATATACTTGAACAAAACTTAAGTATGAAAAATAATCAGATAATGGGTCAAAATCACACCAGTGACCACCTACCCTAGCTAATCAACTGTTATCCACAAAAAAAAAATTATATACTTATATGTCAATCTACTTCCAAAATTACATGTTTTCCAAGATCTTACAAAATTATTTTTACAGTATGTCTCTTCAAATATTTGTTTTCCTGCTTAATAGTACTGATCATGCTGATCAGACGATAATGGGTGGGTGATATTAAGATAGTATGCCCTCATAAACTTTTAGTCCCAGACCTATGAACCAGTGATTCATTTTGAAAATGGTTATCATGGGTCCAAAGGACCCCCCTTAATGACAACAATGAGTCCAATGACAAAATCAGTGCATCCAAATCCAAGGGTCATATATTAGATATTACAGAGGAAATTCTGGTGAAATATAAAAAGTTATTGCACGAAAGAGCAAATGCTTTATTGTTGCTGTGAGTAGTTCTATAATTTTACTATCAACTGTCCAAGTAAGAGTACATGATTTTGTGTCATAAATATAATATATTGTCAACTGTGCACTATGGTTCTATTTTTAGATCGTACATACGATCTCACACGTTGTAATATATCAGTCATAAAATGCACAGAAGCAAAATGAAGCAAAGAAATTTTAAGAAGAAATGAAGAAAGTCAGAAATAAAAATGATTATATTTTAAACTTCTTAGCTTGTATTAGGAAAAAAAAAATGATACAGGTTACATGTATAGCTTTTACAAAGGTATAGTATTCGCTTCAGAAATGTTCCACAGTATAGACATAATCAGTGATAATCCAACTATGCTATCTAACTTTCAAATATTTTCTGATAATTGCTGGTTAATTGGCTGCAATTGTGAAATCTGACCTGTTGTTGGCAACCTTATATACACCTGTTAAAATTGTTCATGCATATCGCTTAGCACATGGATATGATGCAATCAGTCAAGATTAGAATCGGATTATACCAAATAATACAAGTTCTTCTATAAATTTATTGCATGCATTGGGATGTACATTTATTAAAATAATGCGTCCTGAGCAAAATTTGTGCATAATTTACACAGGACGCACACCAAAATGAATCATTGATGAACACCATATTTTTTAGTGCAACATACAAAGAACTATGTAGCAACCTATGATCTACAGCACATGTAATTTTCATAATGCTAGCTCACATCATAAGGAATACAGGTATGACTAGCTGCTTGCATGGCGCAGTGGTTTAAGTGTTTGTTTAGAGTCACAGATAAAGGAGTTGATCCTAACATCAGGGGTTCGAATCCCACTGCTGGATGTGGAGACCGGTGTTCAAATGAAACTGAGGTCCCATGTTGTAGTAGGTGCTGGCATGAACAAAATTACTCATTGCTCAAGGGTCCTGAGTACAGAGGTTCTCAAGTGCTGGCTTTTCAATATGAGTGAAAAGTTATCGAAAGAAACATTATAGAAACAAATAAATATGACTATAAATAATTATCTTTTCTTACCATTATGGATGTTGTACATGTCCCTTTCGATAATGAAAAAAAATCTTTTTCTGTCAACTTCTCATTTTCTCACCCGCCTTTTTCTTGCTAATCTTCTCTCCAACATACTGGAGAAGGTATTCTCGCATGTTATGTGGTACCGAACACACTCTATAATAAAAATAAATGCATAAATGCAAACAAGTCAACAAAATCTAATTTATTCAGAGACTTGGTTTTATATGTCTCTGTCATAAATCAGCTCACCCTAGGCAGTTAAAAATTTCCTCAGAAATCTGGTCAGAATTTTAAAACATAATTTCAAAAAAAAATTCATGGGAAAATATATTGTACATTATTTAACATTGTACAAAATGCAGGAAACTTTCCTGGAAAGTTTAGAAATTGAAACTGTAAAAATATTACCATACCATCAAACCATGTCCATGCTGATCAAAAGACTCAACAATGTATTAGCTAACCCGATCAAAATTAAACTGAACCCGACCGAAAGTTTCTAATGTACATATGTAGATATACAAGTAATACATGTAGACTCTGCATAACAATTTTATTAAAATAAAAAAAAATTATTGCTTGTTATATGGTTTTATAACTAAATTGAGAGTATATAAGCAAGTTAATTTCTCCATGGCAACTGCATAAGATAAACAATATTTTTTTCATTATATGTATAAAAAAAATGCTTAAATTGATCAGGATATGTTTCATATGAATCAGGACTTGTTCAAGCTTGTCAACAAGCGGTTTTTCTTCGGGTCTCTTTTATTTTTTAATTTCAATCTTTTATTATTTAATTTCAACTTCTTTCTGAAATTATGATTATCTTCTAATATTTCTTGTCAAAATGAAACACTTAATAGGTTTATAAATAAATGAAACATTAAAAAAAATCAATAAATACAGGCCCGTAAGAAGCAATTTCAGTTTGGGGGAGGGGGGACAGCCATGCATTTTCTTTGGGGGGGGGGGCACTAACAACCAAAAATTCTTTGACAAGCTTTAAAAAAAGAAAAAAGAAAAAAAGGTCATCAGGCGTTTTTATTGAGGGGGCACAAGCATATAGTAGCTATGTTTTCTTTAGTATTCTATATTTCGGCAAAATTATATATTGGGGGCACCCCCCTCCCCCCCCCCCTTCCTACAGCCATGAAATAAAGTTTTACATGATTGTTAAGTATTAAAGACAATGCAATAAATTCAGCAAAGTAATTCAAATAGTTGAGGTAATTTTTACTTATGTGTAGACTGATTTACTAGTACTTTCATAATTATAAATATATTCTCCCATAAAATGAGAATAAATTCATGATAAAGGAAATAATTTGCCTTGAACATGTTGAACATGCAATACATTTTTGAGTCATTTAAGTTGTTAAAGACAAAATTCTCATTTGCCCAATTAAATTTGAGATACATGTACTAATTAAGTGACCTGTAAAGGTACTTGTAGATCTCTAATAAAATCTGGGAAATTAAATCAGCAGTGCTGTAGATCGAAACTCTTTAACGGTAGTGATGTTAACTGAGTCTACTATTATAGAAAAAATATTGCAAGAATTATACAGTATATCTTTTGTTACTCAATCATGGAAAGTGTAATACATATAACTATTAACTGATATGCTCATCTCTGATATAACCTGCTAATCCTCCATTCATGCCAAAAGGTACAGTGTAATAGATTGTTTAGAATATCATTGGCGTATAATAATATTATTACTTTCTATTACATGTAATGTGTGGGCTAGTGTGATGTCACAGATTTAACTTGAGGCCCAAATAACGGGTAAGCAAGGAGGCTGATGCAGACCTAATATAACACTTGAACTTTGGCTTAATTTTTATTTCCAGTTATAGAAATATTTTTGTCATTAAACAGAAAGTTAGACTGTAAGTATGGGTACAAAAATGCGCATTGTCAAAAATGCTTCTTTTTTTTTTTTGGCATTTGCAACAAAATGAAATTAATAGACAACATTTATCGTCAACTTTTCTCCCCCCTTTTCAACCAAATTTCTATCCTTAAAAAAATGATGTGTAGCCTACAGCATTTTTGCCTATATGGAATATACACCACAAAATATTTCCACACATCCTGCACCCAAACCCCAGTTCTAACCCGATTAAAAATATTAATCTGGTCCCTTTGAATTTTTTTTAGCAGTTTGTAGCCCTTAATTCCTCTTTATTTTTAAAGATATTTCAAAATTGTTGCTATATTGGGCTTGACCAAATGAACTTTATGTTTTATGTACAAGAAATCTAAGAGGGATGCTGTCAGGTACATAAATTTGTATGTACATTTATGCATGCATGTATCCGCTACCATAGACATCAGAGATGTGGTATCGTGGTTGGAGGGGGGGGGGGGCTCCTCCCCTCCCCCAATTAATCTTTTACTATTAAAATTGTTCAGGAAAGGCTGGTTGGATTAGGCTGTGAAAAAAGTTTGAACCTAGAAACACCTTACTCCCATTTCCAACCCAACCCTATCCCACGTATAATAGGAAATTAGAGTTAGTATTGCAGGTAAATTATCGAATATTTTATTTATCTCCGCAAGAACGATACCACCAGTCTAATATTATGCTATTCAGTATATATTTATGAATAAGCACAGATTACAATTATTTTGTTCAAGTAATCAATTGTTAGGAACCAGTAAGTTGTAAGAACTTGTTTCCGATCCATTTGCTTGTGTCAATAAAATATGTTCAAAACAAACAAACGAATTGTTGAAACCACGCTGTTGGTAAACTACAATTCGAATTTCCTCCATGCTAATAAGTATACGTAAGTCTTTATCAATAAATAAATACCAGACGTTAACCGCAAGATATTGGGTGCATAATATATAGGCAATGTATCATGAATAAGTATTTTTTAAAAATCATAATTTGTTATTACTTACCAAAATTTTGTCTGACTCCTATTTCTCCGAAGGTCGTAAAGGATACCGAGGATTTCCGAAAATTTTCGGAAGGCATTGCGCACGAAAACCTTGAAGTTGACGAACACGAAACTCTAAAGCTCATTTTCTCGTAAAAAGTTTTATTCTATTTAGCAAATTGTACATACCCAAAATTAGTAGGAGAACAATATCTAAAACTAAATACTAGGAGAAATAAGACATATATAGCAGATCTTATTTAATTTTGCAAGTTTTAGCTGGTCTACATAATGACGATATATAATAATACCAATATATACGTTGCTTGAAATTTAAATTAAAAAATTTCTATAATCATAAATTTTTGGCATATTTTTGGTATTTAAGGGACAAAAACATACTAAACTAAAATTAACTATTGTCAATTTAATATCAAAAAGTCATTAATTTTCTGTTCAGAGAGGGTCAAAATGTTAAGGCGACCGGCTTTGGTCTACTTATTCTACGAGGCTACTTAATGCCAATATATAAATATGAGCGGTCTCCTAAATGGCACAACCATATATATATATATATATATATATATATATATATATATATATATATATATATATATATATATATATATATATATATATATATATATATACTTAAATTTTATAAGTATATTTAATGTTAAATAAAATACAATATAAAATCCTAGTTATTTTGCCTATTTATTTATGATTTCTGATTAAAAGTGTTGTGATTTTAAATCTCTTTGCCGACTTCAGTTAATGCGATTTATCTCTTTTTGGCCTGTTTAGAATCATAAAAAGACAAGTGGATTTGTATCGTAATACGGATAAATACCCCCATTAAACGTCTTAGTTAGCTGTTGAAACACTCCGTTTGCTATCGATAAGCAAGGCCATGTTTGGCTCATCTTGTTTTAACGTTTCATTGCAAAAGATTTGGGAATAAAAACACCGTAATTGTAGTTGATTTTGATTCTTGAACACATAATTCGGCTTTCAAAGAAATTAAATTAAATGGAAACAACATACAGCTACAAATCAATAATTCATTCTAACAATACACATTATAAGCAAATCAAACATGGACCACTGAAAACATCAAAAATTAGACCGCATGGCATGGAGATTTTTTTTTTTATTTGTGAGAATGATAAATTTTCGTTAACTTTAAAGTTCTTCGTCAGCAGAACAGTGAAAATTCCTCTGTTTGGTTCATATGCCACTATGTAGGCAAATTAGAAGGATGCCTTGACAATTGAGGTCCGTAGGAAACAATCTGGGGAGGGGGGCACATGCTAACATTTTTGTTGGGGGCACTATCAAGTACCAAAAATTCCCCGAGAAGCAAAAAAAAAAAAAAAAAAAAAAAAAGCATCAGACGTTTTCATTGAGGGGGCACAGGCATGACGTAGCTATGTCTTTATTAGTATTCTATATATTGGCAAAAATATTGTGGGCAAGCCCTGAACCCCCCCCCCCCGTTCCTAATGGCTTGCAACTCAGTGAATCAGGGTCGTGCACTCGATGTCTTCATATTCACATTTTGAAAACTACCTTATCTTTTTTGTCAGTATACTTGAATCACTCTTTTAATGATTTCTTTCCATTACATATGACGCAAGATGACGTAATTTCGATTATAGTTTTTTTTTAATTGGAGCTTTGTTCAAAATTACTCTGTGTGCGGTCAAGATTACCCTTCCCAATTTGGAGACCGCCATAATTATTTGACCTAATTATGCAAAATGAACACTGGATGGACAAGTTCATTGCTGACTAAAGGTGTTGAAGGTTCTTAATGACGGCAAAACTTCAGCGAAACTCTCGAGTTTGATTTTCTCTTACGACTTACCCAAAAGTATTGATAATTAGAAATGCCTCTTTTTAAGTGAAGTAATACAACTGTTCTAATACAAACAATGAAATCACTTTTATAATGAAAAGTTATTTCTTCTCTAATTAAAAGATTATAAAAGAACAAAGTTCAGTTCCTTTAAAAATCGGCCCTCTTTCAAATAAGCTAATTATTGTATATTTTTAAAATAGGAATGTTTAGAATGAAAAATTACTAAAATTATTTTTGTCGGATATATAATCACTCCAAACCATATTGTTGAATGTAGCATAGATTTCTTATCGACGTCGCCTATTTACAACGTCATGACGCTGATAACGTAAGCGTGAAGAAATGCAACTGAAAACAGTTTTACTAAATTTTAAGCTATCTTAAAGAAAAAAAAGTATGTTCATATCACTTTAAACGCTCTTGTATACATGTATTTTTGTACATGTAGCATGTAGAAGACTTTGTAATTGAGCTTTATGTACAATAAATGTTTACATTTCTCTAACTATTAATGCGCTATGCAGTCTACATATATGAGATTTCTCAGGTAAAATTCGTTGAAAAGTTGTCTACATTGAAAAATAATCAACACCACGGTCTAAAATGTTCACAACACTTTACTTCATTTTGCGTCAATATCTATAACAAATTTCAAATGGATATATAAGCTCAAATAAACC